AACCTCTCTCTGTGCTCACTAATCTCTCATTCTCTCTCTCTGCTCTGCAGTTTGCCTCCGGATCCAGATCAACCCCCAGAACAAGAGCGAGTTCCAGGGCATCTCCCCAGAGCGGGCGTTCGCCGATTTCCTCTTTGCCAACACCATCCTCCACCTCGTCGTCATCAACTTCGTTGGCTGAGCTCTGGGAGAGGCTGCTAGGTACTGATCCATGGGATCTCAAAAGGGGCAACCACAGGGCGTCAGTGTTTCTGGGGGAGAACTAGAACCAGAGTGAATCCGGGAGTCCTCCCGACTCCCAGCTGCCTCTGGGCCAAGCACAGCCAGGCTGTTGTTCTCTGGGTTGGCACAGGGTGAGGATTTACGGCTTTCTGCTTTTGAGCATGTGTTTTTTGGCTTTTGTATCATTTGATAGGGCATTTAACTAGGAGTGTTACAGAAACCTACCCACATTCCTCTCTTATGAGAGATATTCCTCATTCTTCTTTGCAGGAGGGGCTTTGGGAGCTGGAACTCCTGGGTTGTGACGGTTGTCCTTTCTGGAGGCCATGGTGTGGCTGGGGTCCAAGTCTGCAAGTTCCTCCACAGATGAGGCAGTTTGGGACAGGGACAGTTGGGTTGGGAAGTGGAGGACATGCCCTGTTGTTACTATTGCAAGGGGCCACAGGATCACAGGAGCTTGGAGGAATTTCCTCCCCCTTAGCAGTAACATTGCTCCTGTTACCTTCTCTCTTTCCAGGTCTTGAATTGCTCCTGAGCTCTGATGGCAAAGCCTGGCATAGGGAAGTGCAGTTCCCCAGCAGACTCTCACCTTCTGCCTTGGTGGAGGAAGGGGCTCAGGTTTTTCCCCACAGTGTCCTATGGAGGGGTCTGCAGCCTCGTTATGTACCTGTAATCCTTTCCATCAATAAAACCCTGTGTGACACTGCAGCCTTTTCCCTGTTGGTGACAAATACAGAGCTTCTCCTGCACCCAAGTTCTCTCCCTCTCAGGCATGACTCCCTGATTGTACCCCTCTCTCTCCCTTTCTACCCAACAGACTTTTTTTTTTCTGTGCCCCAGTTTTGGAGGGAAGCAGGAAACAAGTTGTCATGAAAACTCAGTTGTCATCCACCCTTTTCATCTCCCTTTTTCCTGCATCTTTATCTTACAGAGTCTGTTGCCAATGTGCCCCTGGGCTTCAAAGCTGTGAAAAATTTGGGTTAGGCTGTGGTGAGTGGTCATGAAGGGAAGGAGCTGGTGGGTGTTCTCCAGCATGTCCCCAGGTGTACCCACCTTCCCACAGGTCCTCCCACATCCCTCAGAGGCACATGGGCCATGTGTGGATGTCCCAGGTGGACTTAGAGCCCCACTAAGGCTTGTGAGTTGTTACAGCCACCCTGCCACGGTGTCGGGGTCCCTGCACTCTGATGTACTGATGAACACAAGCATGTTGGAAGGGGCTGCCAAGCTGTCAGGGCCTCTGAGCTGCACTGAAGCTCCTCTGAGGGAAGAAGCTCCCCCCTCAGATTTAGAATCACAGAATCATCAAGGTTGGAAAACACCTTCAAAGTCATCCAGTCCAACCCTCCACCCACTGTAACCCCTAAACCATCACCCAGCACCAGATCCAGGCACCTCTTGAACACCCCCAGGAACGGTGACTCCACCACCTCCCTGGGCAACCTATTCCAATGCCTGACCACCCTAACACTGAAAGCATTTTCTTCTAATATCTAATCTGAATCTCCCTTGGCTCAGTTTGAGGCCATTTCCCCATGTCCTCTCACTGCAGGCACGGGAGAAGAGACTGACCCCACCCTCTTCTCAAGTGTTTGTGAAAGCAATGAGTTCCTCAGACTAAACAAGCCCAGCCCCCTCAGCCATCCCTCATAAGGCATGTTTTTCATGAGCCTTGTTGCCCTTCTCTGGACACACTGCTCAATGTCCTTTTTTAAGTGAGGGGCCCAGAACTGAACGCAGCACTCGAGGTGTGGCCTCACCAGTGCCAAGTACAGGGAAAGGATCACTTCCCTGGTCCTGCTGCCACACTATTCTGGATACAGACCGGGATGCCGTGTGCATTCCTGGCCACCTGGGCACGCTGTTGGCTCATATTGAGCGAACTGTCAACCAACACCTCCAGGTGTCTTTTCTGCAGAACAGCTCTTGAGTCCCTCTTCCCCCAGCCTGTAACTCAAGCAGAATTCTTGAGGGAGAGTAGAATTGCAGGGGGACTTTTCACAAGGTTGTGTAGTGACAGGACAAGGGGGAATGGCTTCAAATTTCCAGGGGGCAGGGTTAGATGGGATATTGGGATGGAATTCTTCCCTGTGAGGTTGGGGAGGCCCTGGCACAGGTTGCCCAGAGAAGCTGTGGCTGCCTCATCCCTGGAAGTGTCCAAGGCCAAATTGGCCAGGGCTTGGAGCAACCTGGTCTAGTGGAAGGTGTCCCTGCACATGGCATGTGGTGGAACGAGATGAGCTTTCATGTCTCTTCCAACCCAAACAAATCTGGTGTTCTGTGATTCTCTGATCAATTTGGGTCCTATCAAAGCTATTCCCACATCGGTATAAGCTTCAACAAATCCATCAATACCTTCAAGCCCTGCTCCTCATAAAGTCTGTGCTTGGGTTCCTGGTCACACAAGGAGAAGGATAAGAAGAGAGGCTGGTTTGTGCACAGGGCCTTGTTTGGTGAGAGATGACAAATGTTGGGCAGGGTATTTCCTCCAACAAAACCCTTAGAAAATGTTCAAATTCATCTACCCATAGGTAGGTTTGGGGGACATGAGCTGGTAGAGGGGAGAGGGTGCTAGAAATGGACCATGCAACATCTTCCCTGCCAGTGTGACAGGACTCCGGCCTGGCCGCTCATCCTCCTTCTCCTCTGGGTCAGGAGAAGTAGAAGGATTTTTCTGAATGGATTCAGTCTGTATAAAGGGTCTGTATAGAGATCTATCAGCAAATTCAGAAATCTGACACAATTCTAAGATCTTTCCCCACCACCCACCACACTTTATAATGCATTTTCTCCCCTCCTTTCCCTGCCCACTCTATTCATAGCTCAGTCCTTCCTGCTATAACCAAAACAACTCCCCCACCCTCCCCAAGTGCAGGCTGTGGTGAGGAGGTGGGAGGGAAGGATGTACTAACCTCATTCCACTTTGGCTTGTGGTCTAACGTCTGCTGTTCTTTTCCTTTCCACAGCTTCTCCCCCTCCCTGTCATGTGCCACCCCAGCCCTGCACCTCCACCCCCATTTGTGCTCCACTTTCCAGAGGAAGTGGTTTCTGTGGTCAGGTGTAGATGAGCATCAAAAGGTGACCCAGATCTCGATTGTGGCGTCATGGAACTGGTGCTGTGGCCTCTTCCTGCCTCACCTGGGCCATGGGCCCCTTTCCACCTCCTGTCCTGCTGTATTATTTCCTGCCTTCGCTTTGCTCTGCGGTTTTTATTTCTCAAAATAAACAAGAAAGCACAAAGGGGGCAGGGGCACATTGTGGTGGTGGGAGATTGCCAGCCTGATATCTCGAAGTGTCTTTGAACTAGACCTGCAAATTCAGTGTTTTGCAGGTCACATGCCCAGAGCCACGTTAGTCAAAATATTTAACTCATCCCCCACTTGGAAAATCCTGTCACTGGGGTCGTTTAACCTGGAAGAAGAAAGACTGAGATGTAGAAACAAAGGCAGCACAGTCCTTAACCCTTGCCCTTACAGCTGGGAGTAGGTTTGAAGTGCAACATAAAAAAATTAAGATTTAAAAAGTTATGCTAAAAGTAAATGAGTATGGAAAGTTTTCTTCCACATCTCTGAAAGTTGCTTGGATGAGGTTAATCAGTTGGAAATTTGTGAAATTCAGTTACTTGCTTTATAGTTCAAATATCGTTTAAGCAGCTTCTTCAAGCTGCTTCCTGGTGATTTGGCAGATCTCATCATGAGCAGAGTGTAAGCTCCAAGAGCTGCCTGGAATACAGCACTTAAGGAGCCACAGGCTTCCTACATCTGGAGAGATACCAGAGTGACTGTTACGTCAAGGGAGAGACAAGAGAACAAATCCCTGAACATCTGTACTATAAAATAATCAGGGCAATAGACACAGAAAGGTTAAAGTTGTTCCTTGGCAGGAGGGGTCAGTAACTTTGTCACCCTGTGATAGGCCACCTCCTAAATGGTCAGGGATGGTCACTATGATAAATGGTGACCACGGCAAGAGACCAGTGAGACACTGTCATGTTGCTGCTCAGCACTGCAGGGTCAGATCCTGGCATGGTCCTCCCACATGGAGCCCCAGGACTTTTGGCTAAAAGCGTTTGAATCATGAGCCTTTATGAAATCAGCCCCATGTGAAGGCTGTGAATCCAGCAGGGTGAGAAATACCCTATGAGGGGGAATCACCCCCACGAGTCCAGCGAGGCTTTTCCCACCACTCACTTTGGACACCAGTGTAAGGTACGAGCAAGGCTCAAGCTTGTGTTTCTGTCAGAGCACACTTCTCATTCCTCCCTCCAGAGGAATTTCTGGGGCTTCAGAAGAAGATGGAGAAATTGATGTCACAAAAGGAGAAAAATTCTTTTCCAGTCTTGCCAGGGACAGATGGAACCTGGAGGCAGAGGGCAGTGGGTTGGTGTCACCACTGCAAAGTAGCTGCCTTGTCCTGCAGTGACACTCAGAAGTGGGAAAACAGTTAGAGATAAGACACTTCAGGCTCCTGTGTCCCCCACAGCAGCAGGCAGCCTGGACCCATGACTAGTCCTCTCACTGGCCAAGCATGTTTTACTAGCACAGAGTCTGCACTTGGAGAAGAGCTCCCCTGCTCCCCTCCTTCCCCAGCCACGCTCTTCTCACATGGACAGAGCACAGACGTCCTGGAGAGGGAATTTGTAGCTCTTCCCACCCTCCGTGGTGAATCCAACCCCTTCCCTCCTTCACCCCAAAGGCCAGGCTCATTCCTAAAGCCCAGCTGAAGGCTGAAGCAATTCCTCAAACAACAAATATAACAGACAAACAAGTTTCTCATTTTGGTAAGAATTGTTTAATAACAGCCAAAGGCCTAAAGAAATGCCAAGACACGGTGTGGGTGCCAGTACAGTTCATGCATTAGCGGCATGTGAATGTCACAGGCATGCACTGTCCAAAGGTGGGCACACGTGGACAGGTAAATATTACAGTATATTTTTATGCAATGGTTATAAAAAGAAGTTAGGAAACCTCAGGTTGTTAGACCTAAACAAAAAGAACAAAGGTGGTTTGTATTTTTACTGAATACAAAGCCAAATCTGAAGCTGGTTTAAATTCAGGAAATAGTAAGGCCAGATAGACTTCAGAAAATAATTATTTTTTTTTTTCGTCTGTGATAGTGAGGTGACAATTTCACTGAATTTAGGACTTCTGGGACACATAGCAGCACATCCTTTAGGGGAAATAAGGGATTTCTAGCTCTGATCTAGCAAAGGATAGCAGGAGATGATGCACAGCATCCTGAGAAAGTCTCCCTTTGCTTTTCAAATTGTTTTATTTGTACATGAAAAGGTGGCTAGGGGGTGCACCCTAAGAGACATGCATACCCTGAATCTACCAAAATAGGAAAAATTCATGTTCAGGTGATATTTAACTCACAGTTTTCAACAAACAGCACTGCTCCAGGCAGAAATTGTCATTTTAGTGCAAGTAACAGTGGTGTTTGGCAATCTATATTTATAGCAATGTCTGCTGCCTGCAGAAGAGGTGAATGAACCATTTGGGGGGGCAGAAAGCTGCAAATGTTAAGCTTAGTTTTGAGTAATTTTGTAGCAATGCAAACAAAGCAATTTAGAATAGAATGGTTGGTGTGATATATAAGAACAACAAGAGATGTTCCTTGCATCAGGAATATTCCTGTGTTCACTCTTGCTCTCAATGGTCTCTCAAAGATTCCTCAGGAGATTTTTTTGGACTGCACCATCCGGTTACTTTCAATTCTGCGACAAAAATAAAGGTATGTTAAATCATTATTTGTGTTACAGTCACAGCTGCTGAAGTGACCAGGCAAGAGAAAGAGAAGAAAGAGACACTGGGCCAAAGCAAATATATTAAGGTCTTATATTGAAGTCTCTCATCTGGAGACTGGTCAGGGGATAAATCTGACAGATGAATGCAGATAAGGGAAGGGATGATGTAGAAATAAAAGGGGGAGATGTCTTGAAACAAAAAAAATTGCATATGGACAAGGAAAGGTACTTGAGAGGTGGGTGAAAATGGTCTGGCCAGAGAAGTGGATGAGTTTTACTGTTGATAGACAAAAGGTGTATGGATAGACTGCATAAACAGATGTTCCAGAGTGAAGGAAGATTCATAACTGATGAACTGATCCAGATATTTTCTGTCAGATGATTTCAGACTCCCCATCCATACTCACTTCTTTTTTCCACAGGAGCATTGTCATCACCACATTAAAAATTAATCCTTTCATTAAAATTATTTTCAGGCCCAGCTGTGATAAAGACAGTGTGTTCAGGTGTTCATCTGGAAAAGCATCAGAAAATGAGAGTCACAAGAGCACTGAGACATCCTCGTTCCAGACAGATTAAAACACTTCCTAATGAGGCTGCTCAGATGGAGTCAGCTGGTGGGACAGGGAGCAGGACTGATGGACTTTTATTTCTGCCATTCAATAACCACTTAATTATCTGATGTGCAAGTCTGCCAATCATCTAAATACTGTGCATTATGAACTCAGGATGCTGGAGGTGTCCCTCCTCCCTCTCTCTAAATTTTTTTAAAGATGGGCAGGGGGAAAACAAATCTAAATTTTATTCATAGAACAAAATTGTATTTGGATTTTCTATTAATCTGAAGTTTGAAAATACATTGTTCTATTCTGGAGAAGCAGAGAGCCATCATCAAAAACACATTTGATGTTTATCATCGAAAACCTCTCTCTGAAAGGCTGATCAAATCAGCACATTTACTGATGAGTATTTCCCTGAAATGGTGTTCTGGAAAGATTTGCAAAAGCACAGCTGTTCTGTGAGCAGGGCAAGCTCAGGGGCAGGCTCAGCTCCTTTGAACCAGCAGGAAGAGCAGTCCTTGGGCTGCAGCACTACTCATACACCCCCCAGCCCTGAGCTGGAGCTCAGCTTGCTCAGATGCACCACAGCTTTAGTGCATCCCTGAGCACACACAGCAAAAACCGCCTGCTTAGCTATTGGTTCATTAGTTGTTTGTGCACCCCAAAATAAACCCAACCCTTCTGAAGTCTGAAAGGCAGCAGACAGTGAGGCTGACTCATATCAGAACCTGAAGTCCCCCAGTGATGGGCAGTAGCTATTTGGTGAGTCATTGCAGGAGCATGTGAACACTGGCTACACTGGTTGCATAAAATTACCAGCTTGGATCTGGAAGGCCACATTTACCCCAGGACTCCCAGCCTTGGTGTTTAAAGCCTGTGGGGCCCTTTGGGAAATTTCCAGTCTGAACTTTTTGGTCCAACAACAATTCTGCAAGCAGGAAATATCTGCAAAAATTTGGGAAAATATTTCCTTTAATCAGGCCAATCTTTACTACTAAAATGCTGTGTACATACCTGTCCTGAAGTGTAGGGACAGCCCTGTAACACAGACAGTGCTGGCACCTGCAAAGAATAAAGACAAATTTAATTAATAACAGAAATGGACTCATTCAGAAGCTCATAATGATATCTCTGCTTAGAAGGGATAAATTAGAGTTTCTGGCCATCGAAACCTCCCATAAATACTCTTTTCTGCTGTTTTCAGGGCAAGCATAAAATATGATGTAATTAAACTTCAGGGTCCCACTGGGCAAAGGAATGTCAAGCTTTCCTTCCACACTCCCCCCCAAAGTGTTTTTAAGATCTCTCTGCTGTGACTGTACCAATCTACTGACCCTTAATCTTGTTTCCACCAAAGAGGGAGGAGAAAGAAAAGAGGGGCAACAAGGCAACATTCCTCTGGACTGTGGGAGTTAATGGAGCATTGCTTGCATTGCTGGGAGATGTGAACCAGTCCTGCTCACATGAACAGCACAGAGCCCAGAGCACCTCTGACCCTGCACACCCCCCCAGCAATGCCATTACCACTTTCAGGGTCCTCGCCCTCCAGTTCTCCAAAGCCCACATGACTGGCACCACACTGCATTTCATCTCTCCTGGCCCAGTAGGTTGACAGGTAGCTCGATTCCGCGCTGTTCTCAGCTGTTGCCACCTCCACAACAGCAGATGTGGCCTTCTCAGCAGTGTAAAAAGCGACATTTTCAGGGGAGTAATCTGTGATCAGGCACATTTCCAAATCCTCATCATCTTTAGAGGTCAGTCTGTAGGCTGAAGGAGACGGAGGAGCTTCTGAAAGTAGAGAAAATAAGAGTCATTAGATGAGAGTACACATTCACAGTTCCTTTAGTCTTAACATACAGACCCTTAGAAATGCAGGTTCTTCCATTACTCCAGTGGGAAGTTGCCTGATCATAGGGATCTTGTGCTAGGACACCTTTAGAGAACCAAAGCTTCTACTGCAGATGATGCAGGAGCTACTTCTGTTGACTTAGGTTGTATGGGAGACACAGAGAGTGGTCAGGTAGGGCCCCTGGAGCACCTCAAAAGGCACTCATGGACATCCACACTCTGGATGTTCACATCTAACCTGGCCATTCCTCTCTGGAACAACTCCTCAACTCTGCTCTGCAGCCTGGGTGCACTCAGGAATGTGTACAACAGGTGAGAGGGCACCTGAGCAACCTGGGCTAGTGCAAGGTGTCCCTGCCCATGGTTGGAACATGGTCTTTAAGGTCCCTCCCAGCCCAAACCATCCTGTGATTCTGTGATTCTTTCTTCACTGCTATGACATGTAATGTGTCTGGAGAGAGCTGAGCAGCCCAGGGCCATTCAGCCTGTTCTGCAAAGGTTTAGTCAAATCCACCAGTGAAACCCCACTTCTCCCCATGTCCTGAGGGGCAGTGGATAAACCACTAAACCTAAATAGATCTCAGTCATTTACCATGAGTCTCACTAATGGTGCTCCTACAGCAGAAAGGTAGAGAAGTCACTGAAAAGCAGGAGCACATGGCTGCATTCAGGGAGAGGTGGATGAAGCAAAAAAATGTTTCATCATGTTCCACCACTTGACAGCTCAGTGCCAGGTTTTTTTACTAAATTTTACGCTGCAGAAGGGGGGGTTGAGGAACTAAAGGCTGCAGATATAAGACACTTCATGTTCATTACTGTTTTCTTGCTTCAAACTCTGCTAGCAAGTCAGTCAGACTGGGGATTTTCCACACATAAAAACACAACCTCCAGTTAAACTCTTTTTTGCACATTCAGCTCTGTAAACTTGTATTCTAAGCATTTCATCTGATTCTATGAGAAGGTACTTTCCTAAACCTTTGCTCACGGCTAACAATAAAATGCTATGGATGTTGCAGTGCTCTCATGATGACTAAATGAAATATCATTAGAGACATACTGCAGCCAAGATTTGGGGCTCTCAGCAACCCTCTGGCTGTACTTTCCATTGGCCCTCACAAGTTTGAACCAGAGCTTCAGTTCGCGTTTTTAAACTGATAAAGTGTTATTGTGTAGGATTGAGAGTTTAGATTAACCTTTGCTTTCTCCCTGTTCATATACCTAACTGATAAATATTGTAGAAATGCTGAAGACTGCTTAGCTCCTAGATGAAGAATTCTTAATTTCTTCCCATATGAGAGGTTTGGAATAAATCTCAGCTTCTAGAAACTGTCTCAAAATCTATCACTCAGATAAATGCTCTTCATCTGTTCGGTTGCCAGCTGTCAGCACCATAGAGAAACAGCCATAGTTCTCTATTAGGATGACATCAGAAAAAAACTAATCCACAAAGCCCAGTGGTTCATTCTCTGGCCCTTCTTCTAAATTGCAGTTCATCTGTCCTCACTTTGCCCTGGCTTTGAAGAACCTGATGAGAGTCTTTCCAAACTATGAAGAAATACAGTCCAATGTGTGTTCTGACTCCCTCAGCCCCGCTTCCCACCTCGCATACTCCCAGTTTTGTTTTGGAAATTTCAGTGATTGGTTTTTAGGGAGAGAAAGACAGGTGCAGGTAAAAAGTTTGGTGATAGATCCTTGTATGAAAAGAGGAACCAGGGTACTTCACTACCCCGGGGTGCATGGAAACAAAAGAGAAGAGGAGGAATTGCTAGAGCTGTTCTGTTTCTCTCTCATCACGAGCACTGTGCTTTCTGAGCAGCTATACATCTCTCCAAATTAGGGTGGTTTTCTCCCTTTCAATCTGTGCAATGCTTTGATCTCAAGCAGATAAAACAATAGTCTGTTTTTCACAAGAAGTTTCGGCAGTACCTGTTTTGCAAAATATTCATTTCTCGATCTTACTCAGAGTGGGGCTGCTCTTGCTCTGGTGCTGTTTCTAGTACTGATAAGTTCTTTTATGTATCTGCACACCGTTATGAAAGTTTGCAGATAGTTTTGGTAAATACCAACTACTATAACCACGGCACTGTGACCTGTTATTCTGTCTTAATGAGCTGGCGGATGTGCTGGAGATGCTGCATATTTATGAACTTTATTTACAGGAAAGATTGGGAAGTGATTCATGTTACTCTGAGCTGTCCACATTGCCTAATTTCATTTTTTCTGAAGAATATTTTCCAGATGGAAGAACAGGAGCTGTTGGAATGCTATTCCTGCCCAGTTTACAGAGAAAGCTAACTCCGAGGATGATTTCATGGAGAGAGCAGTAGAACCCTGTTCCGATATCAGACTGAGACCTCTGCCTTTTTTTATTTTTTTCCCTTAAACAAGCTTCAGTAGAAATCCTGAACTGGTTTAATACCCAGTTTGTATTGCACAGAGAATGATCTCATTCTCCATTCCCCCTAAGGCAAACTCTCTGAATCTCTGGTCACTCTGGAACTGGTGTGACAGAGGTCTTTGATGCTCTTACCATTTCTCAGTCTGAGACATGATATTCCACAGCTTGAATCAACCTGGAGCTATGCCCAATTCCAGGGACATCTGCACCCCCTCACACACTCATACAGGCTGATCTTGACCCCAGAGGAGCAACTCCAATGAATTAACAAGCACTTTAGTGATGTTCCCCATCTGTCCCCCAATGCAGGTTCCAAAAGGTCCTCCTCTGTGAGGTCTGCCAGCCCTGCATGGATGCTGGGATGGCTACAGCAAGACTAGATGAACTCAGATAAGACCTGAACCCTTCTCTTAACTTTCAATGCTCTTGTCTGGAGACTCTCAGGTAACAGAAGCCAGGTCCTAGTCCAGCATTAGCCAAGTCACCCAGAGTACAGAGACTCTGTGCAGAGATTCACCGTTTGCAAATGTGAATATGCTCCTTCGCTGAGAGACTTCAGGCATAATTCTGGTCTCCAGCCGAAAAATGTTCTTTTTATTGCCTCTGTAATTATTCTTGGAGAATTCAAACTACCTAAACCATCCAGAACCTCTCTCACAAAGCATTTAAGGGAAAGATTTCTAGCTAAACTAAAACTAACAGTGACTTAATAGAGGAAGATACCCAGTAGGTGAAGAGATATCAAGTGTTTAACGGATTAAATAGTTCTCTAGTACCAAACCAGGATGAAGCTGGGGCTTTTATCATGTGTTCACATTGAGCAATCCATGCTAAATTTCACGAGTTCTTACTACGCTGTTGGGAATTCGGCGAACTACCATCAGACCTTCGAGATGCAGTCATCATCACCCTATATAAGAAGAAAGGAATTAAATCAGACTGCTCAAATTACCGTGGTATTACTCTGCTCTCCATTGCTGGCAAAATCCTGGTAAGAATACTCTTGAACAGACTAATACCCGCTATAGCAGAAGGAATTCTACCTGAAAGTCAGTGTGGTTTCAGAGCCAACAGGAGTACCACAGGCATGGGATTTGTTCTCAGACAACTGCAAGAGAAGTGTAGGGAACAGAACAAAGGTCTCTATGTAACCTTTGTTGACCTCACCAAGGCTTTTGACACTGTGAGCAGAAAAGGTCTATGGCACATTTTGGAACGCTTAGGTTGTCCCCCAAGTTCCTCAAAATTATCATCTCACTCCATGAGGATCAACACGGCCAAGTCAGATATGGCAACACACTTTCTGAGCCCTTTCTAAGAAAGAACGGTGTGAAACAAGGCTGCGTTCTCGCACCAACCCTATTCACAGTCTTTTTCAGCATGATGCTCCAAAGGGCCACAGCAGACCTCGAGGATCAGGACGGGATCCACATTCGATACCGTTCTGATGGAAGCCTTTTCAACCTAAGGCGACTGAAGGCCCACACCAAGACCTTAAACCATCTTGTCCAGGAGCTGCTTTATGCTGATGACGCCGCCCTTGTTGCCCACACAGAAGCAGCTCTGCAGCGTTTAACATCCTGCTTTGCAGACGCTGCTGAGCTCTTTAGGCTGGAAGTCAGTTTAAAGAAGACAGAGGTCCTCCATCAGCCTGCACCTCAGGAAGTCCCCCATCATCCCCACATCACCATTGGTCAATCAGAGCTCAAATCAGTCCAGCAGTTTAATTACCTGGGCAGCCTCATCTCCTTGGATGGTAAGACTGATGGAGAGATAGACAACAGGTTAGCAAAGGCATCAAGAGCTTTTGGAAGGCTCCATAAAAGAGTTTGGTGAAATAAACACTTGAAGAAAAGTACCAAGGTCAGTGTTTACAGAGCCATAGTGCTGTCTACTCTCTTATATGGATCCGAATCATGGGTCATCCACCGCCACCACCTGCGACTCCTGGAACGCTTCCATCAACACTGCCTCCGTACAATTCTAAACATCCACTGGTCAGATGATGTGACCAATCCATCTGTTCTAGAACAAGCAGCAGTCACAAGTATTGAGGCCATGTTGCTGAGAACACAGCTGTGCTGGGCAGGGCACATCTCCAGGATGAAGGACCAACCACCCCCTCCCTAAGATCTTGCTTTATGCTGAACTTGCCACCGGCTGCCACAAGAGAGGAGCCCAAAAGAGGAGATACAAGGACTGCCTGAAACAACATCTCAGCCTTGGCCATATTGATCACCATAACTGGTCTACTCTGGCCTCCAACTGGGAGGTCTGGAGACACACCATCTATAATGCTGCTGATGCCTTTGAGAAAACACACAGGATCACCCTTGAGGAGAAAAGACAGCGCAGAAAGAATCATGTCCTGCAGAATTTACCACCTAAGGAGTCTTTCTGCTGTGCCTTTTGCAACTGGACGTGCCTGTCTCATATTGGCCTTTTTAGCCACCAGCACGCTTGTGACAAAAGTGTGTAGAGACCTTTCCCTAATCTTCGTTTGCGAAGCCTGGCCATGACATTGAGAAAAAAAATAAATGGA